CCGGTTTTACCAGGGCTTTTATTTTTCCCTGCACGGGCACAAGGCCCCTCGCCTCGTGCCTTGTTTCGCACCCCCCACCCGTCCTCCTCTTTTCTTCCCACCTTGCAGAGGGGGCCGGCAGAGGCCAGCCGAGCGCGACAGGGCGGGCTGTTTCCCCCCCGCCGCTGGGCAGGGAGAGGCGCCAGGCCGTTTCCTGGACCCTAAACATACGGGTGGTTTTATGGACCATCTGGGCAAAGTGCAGGCGAGGAGGCTGCTCGAGCCCGAGCGGCAAGATTGCCAGGAGCGGCGGGCGCTGGAGGAGAAGAGAAATTCAGAGGGGCACAAGAGGGACAGAGGGCTCTGCTGTTTTTCTGCTTAGACGCCACGCTGGACCCGCAATGCTTTCCCCAAACACCCGGCCAGCACATCTTTTCCATGCAAGCTCAGGGACTAGGAACTTGCTTTGCTCTGCAAAAAATTAAAATAAAATAAAAAGGAAAGCAGGGTGTCTCCAGATGCTAAGTCCAGGCTGGGTCCCCGAATCCAGGTGGAAATTGGGCTTTCCCACATCCGGAGGGAAATGACCCCAAGGCTGCTCTTTCCGCTGGAGCTGAAATGCCCATAAGGCTGGGCTTGGGGCAGGTGGAGGGCGGTTCTCTCTCCTTTGCCCCCTTAACAGCCTGGCAGAGCCCAGGGACCAGAGCCCAAGGGCCCCGTGGCAAACCGAGTTAGCCGAGGGAACCTGGTTTGGAGCACTGCCCCCAAAGGGGTTAAATCCGGATGGCAAAGAGGATGGAATGGGTAGAAATGGCAAAACTGATCCAGGATCAGACCACAAGTACTTTATTAAAAAAGACTCTGGTGGGCTTTTTGCTGAAAATGGGGAGGGGGGAATACATTGGTGATTGACGGTTGGGCTGGTTGAAAAGGGTTTGGGCAGGGGGAGAAGGGAACGATGCGGCCGTTTTAATGCGGGAGGGGACAGGATAAGTTTGTTTGCTGTGCCGAAGATCAAAAGTTGCTTCTTTGACTCTTCGTATCGCTCTTCGCACTTTTTGTATCTTTCGGCTTCCCAACTTTAATCTCGCTGGGTATCCTTTCGGGTTTTCTTTGGCCTCTGGGAAAATCTTTCTCCGGGGTTCCCTCTCGAGGGCCTGCCCCGGCTGAATCTGCGCCTCAACTTAACCCCGGTTTAAAATAAAAATATTCGGAGGAAAAGGCTGGGGAAGAGGGGGTGGGAGGGGGGCTGAGTTTCGAGCGGAGAGTCTCTCTTTCAGAAAAAAATAAAAACCTGCTTTTTGTCTGTTTGTCTCCTAACACAATCTCCCCCCCCTCCACCCCCAAGAGCCAGCAAAGGGCACACCTTTTCTTTTCTCTGCCCCCCCATCTCCCCTCTCCTCCCCTTTGCTCAACTCTCCTGGTCATTGTTTATAGAGATAAGTGATGATGTCAGCACGGTTCCCATGGCAACCCGAGGGGATAAATGAGAGATGAGTGGGTGGTTGCTATGGAATATTTTCTCCAGTTGCCGTAGCAACCAGGCATCTGCTTCCTCGCTTCTCTTTCAAGCCCCCCCCCCCCAAGAAACACAGAATATTTTTTTTTTCCTAGCAGGTGATGACGAGGGGAAGGGAACAGCCTTTCAGAAGTTGATGGTTTTCGGTCACTTTTGCGCCGTTCGCTTTCTAATATCGTCCGTCTCGGATCCCCCCCCCCCCCGGGGTTGGAGTTGTGATTTGCTAGAGGGGGGTATTTTTTCTGGCAAGGCTCTGCCATGCTTTCTTTTTTTTAAAATGTTGCTTACATGCCCTGGCACGGTAGAAATGGGATAAATGCTCTTTTTAAAACCATTTTTTAAAAAAATCTGCACGTGCGTCCAGCGGGCTCGACTCCGACCCTCCTCTTCTGTTAAACTCAGAGCAGGAAATCAGTGGAAATAAATACAGATTTTCCTCCAGTTTCCCTGCCCCAAATCTGCACGTGCGTCCAGCGGGCTCGACTCCGACCCTCCTCTTCTGTGAAACTCAGAGCAGGAAATCAGTGGAAATAAATACAGATTTTCCTCCAGTTTCCCTGCCCCTTCTTCCCTGCCTTTTTATTCTGTGGTTCCTTTTACCTGCCATTTCAGACCACAAATGCCTTTCCGGTGCCCTGAAAACAAATCAAATCAAACTTAACTCCATACCCACACCCCCGGCCAAAGAAAATGCACATTTCCCCTCGGTTTTTCCACTTGTCCCTGCCTTGGTCTGTTATGAAAGCGTAGGCTGTCTCTTTTCTCTGCTTTGCATCGCGTTGACTTTTTAAAGCAGCCGTCAAATCGGCTCGAATTAGATCTGGAAAGAAACCGCGAGGGGTTTGTAGCGGTTAAATAAGCTTGTTGGGGGAAAGTAAGTCATGGAAGACGCGGGAAATGCCCCTGAGAAATGTCCTTTCTCTGGAATAATAATAATAATAATAATAATAATAATAATAATAATAATAATAAT